TTGTCAGTGTCAAGATCGGCCTCTTTGGAGGAGGCTCGTGAAGGACGCTGCTTTGGGATTTGGAGGCGGGAGCCCTCCAGCAACAAACGAAGGGCGGGGGAGCGATGCTCACAACAACGAGCGGAGCGTCGGGCGGATAAAACGCAGGTACGTTGGCAAAGTGGGGGAGCACAGCTGTTGTGCATCTGCCAGTCATCTCGGTCAGTCGACCCATGGCGCCTGCCGGATCTGTCACGTGACCTCCTGCCAGCGGCGGGAGCCTTCGACACTTTGCGTGATAGCCTCAAAGTGCACCTAGCCTGGCACTAGCGCTGCGGTGACGTCAGCCACGTCGTTTGTTGTTGTTGTGATCTCAATGGTGTCATCGCGGGGGGGAGGGGGGGAGAGGCTGCGTCTCTTTAGCAGCCTCAGCGAGTTAAGGCGACTTAATTGCCACGTGCCGTCATGGCGCACGTGGCCGTGGTACTGTGACGTGTCGGGGGGTAGGCGAGCGATGGGTGTTGCCATGACTCAGCGGCGTTTGTTAAAATAAAAAAATTAACCCGTAAAAACAAAGTTTTTCACTATAAATCCTTTATATGCGTGGCGGCTAGAGTCCTCTCGTCCTCTGGCTTGAGATGGCTGCCACCTATGGGTCAGATGATTGCCTGCCACCATTAAGCAATTGGTAATTAAATAGAAAAAAAAATTCCTAAAAAGTGTAAAATTTTGGAGAAAAAAAATTCACGAAAATAAATTGTCACGCACAACGAGTCTGTGTGCAAAATATCAGCTCGATTGGATCACGGGAAGTGGGTTAAAAAACGACCGAAAGATTTGCACGGTCGTAAGCGCGCAAGCAAGCAAGCAAGTGAACTTAATATAAAGGATTAAAAAAAACACAAATCCCAGCGTTGTTTCAGCTGGGATTGTGCCCCTGACGCCTGCTGTATATTTGTAGTTTGCATTTCACTCATCTCTCTCTCCCCCCCCCGTGGTCGCGTGGATTTTTTCTCCGGGTACTCCGGTTTTTTTTGGTTTTCCCTCCCCACTCCACGTTCAAAATCGGCGTCACGCTTTTTAGAGCGTTTGGCTGCCGTGCGTTTCCACACTTGTGGTGACGAGCCGTTTCGTTGAGCTGTCATTTGTGGCCAGGTCGCTTCTGAAAACAAGAAGCTAGCAGGTCTAGATTTGAAGCTTTCGTGACTGCAAGGATTCATATTCTTAGATTTTTTCGGTAAAGTCACGTACGTAAAAAAATTTAATTAATAAAAGTAAAATAAAATCACGACGTTTCGGAGGCAACAAAAGCCTCCGTCTTCAGTATCAGCTATCGTGCTGTGACGGTTCCCCCTGAAGACGGAGGCTTGTGTTGCCTCCGAAACGTCGTGATTTTATTTTTATTTTACTTTTATAAAATTAATTTTAATTTACCTACGTGACTTTAACGGAAAAACCTAAGAATAAGAAGCTGACAGCTTTATCTGCCGAAATGAAATAGTTTAAAAACTTGATTCGGAGCTTTCGTGACTGCAGGAATTGCTCGTTGGTTCTTTCGGTAAAGTCGCGTCGAAAGAAAATAAAAATAAATTAAATAATAGAATACGATGTTTCGACTGCAACACAAGCAATCATCTTGAGGTACGAATGAATGAGAAAACAAAGCTAGTAAACTTAGAAATATAATGCAATACAACACCCTGCTTGATTGATCATCGTCATCATCATCATCGTCGTTAACGTAATCAATCAAGTTGGATGTTGTATTGCATTATATTTCTAAGTTTACTGGGTTTCGATTTAAAGCTTTCGTGACTGCAGGGATTCATCTTCTTGGTTCTTTCGGTAAAGTTACGTAGAAGGGAAATAATAAAAATAATAAAAATTAAACATAATAAAATACAATTCTCACGACGTTTCGGCCACAACGCAAGCAGCCGTCCTCAGGTGAAGAACAGGTCTGTCGGAAAGACAGCGTGACTTTACCGAAAGACCCAAAGAACATGAATTGCTGCAGTCACGAAACCTTTAAGTCAATACTCACTCCGGAAGAACATGACGGACGAGTGGGCTTGACAGATGTGAAAACGGCCGAAACGTCGTGAGAATTGTATTTTATTATGTTGAATTTTTCTTATTTTATTATTTCCCTTCTACGTGACTTTAACGAAAGAACCAAGAATATTTACTGTGTTTGTTTTCTCATTTATTCGTACCTGAAGACGACTGCTGGTGTTGCAATCGAAACGTCTATTCTATTATTTAATTAATTTATCTTTCTTTCTACGTGACTTTACCGAAAGAACCAAAGTGAAAGAGTTTCGTTTTAATTTGTATATTTTGTTTAGCGATTTTCCACCCCCGTTACGCCGAATCTTGACGCATGCCGAGGGGGCGGATGAAATATCCGATGAGGTGGTGGTCACGATTGATGCTATTACATCATTCTCCCTCTCGCCATTGATTCACCACCAATTTACCATTTACCCGGGCGGTGGCTCGTCCCACTGCCAACTTGAAATTGCTGTGTTTACGATCATTTATTACAATATATAAATATAAACTATGGGAAGGGATTCCCCCAGCCCCCATTCTCCCTTCTATCAACCCCTCAACCCCGTCCCTCTGCTCCCTCCCCACTCCACATTCTCCCTCCTCACCCATCCCCCTACCCCCTCCCCCTTCTCCTTCTCCCATAGACTCAACACTGCCCCATAGACTCAACACTGCCCATACACTCAACACTGCCCATACACTCAACACTGCCCATACACTCAACACTGCCCATACACTCAACACTACCCATAGACTCAACACTACCCATAGACTCAACACTGCCCATAGACTCAACACTACCCATAGACTCAACACTGCCCATAGACTCAACACTGCCCATACACTCAACACTGCCCATACACTCAACACTGCCCATACACTCAACACTGCCCATACACTCAACACTGCCCATACACTCAACACTGCCCATACACTCAACACTGCCCATACACTCAACACTGCCCATACACTCAACACTACCCATAGACTCAACACTACCCATAGACTCAACACTGCCCATAGACTCAACACTACCCATAGACTCAACACTGCCCATAGACTCAACACTGCCCATATACTCAACACTGCTCATAGACTAACACTGCCCATAGACTCAACACTGCCCATAGACTCAACACTGCCCATAGACTCAACACTGCCCATATACTCAACACTGCTCATAGACTAACACTGCCCATATACTCAACACTGCCCCATAGACTCAACACTGCCCATAGACTCAACACTGCCCATAGACTCAACACTGCTCATAGACTAACACTGCCCATAGACTCAACGCTGCCCATAGACTCAACACTGCCCATAGACCCAACACTGCCCATAGACTCAACACTACCCATAGACTCAACACTGCCCATAGACTCAACACTGCACCATAGACTCAACACTGCCCATAGACTCAACACTGCCCATAGACTCAACACTACCATAGACTCAACACTGCCCATAGACTCAACACTGCCCATAGACTCAACACTGCCCATAGACTCAACACTGCCCATAGACTCAACACTGCCCATAGACTCAACACTGCCCATAGACTCAACACTGCCCATAGACTCAACACTGCCCATAGACTCAACACTGCCCATAGACTCAACATTGCCCATAGACTCAACACTGCCCATAGACTCAACACTGCCCATAGACTCACCTCTTATCCACTGCCCATTCCTTCCCTCTTTCTTCCCATCGACCTCTCCACTCCATCCCGTCCCTCCCCTATAGCCCTTCCGTGACCCCCATGTGCCCTCTGCCCGTGCCATCTAAACCACTCATTTTAAAGCTACCTCTCAATACGAAATAACACGAAGCGAAAAAACTCAAACTAAACACGTTGTTTAGTATTAAGCAATTGAACACATTTTTTATTTTACCAGGTAAGACCCACTAATATATGTAACTCTTTATTCAGAAGCGACATTGACACAAATGATTGTTAGACGAAGTCGAGTGGAAATGTACAGCAGCCAAACAGTCTCGACGCGCGATATCGATTCTGAAAGTGGAGGGGAAGAACACTGGAGGACCCGGAGAAAAGATCCACGCGACCACGGGCAGAGAGAGAGAGAGACAGGCAAACTCCAACTATACAGCAGCAGGCGTCAGGGTCGGGATCGAACCCACGACCTCCTGTAGACTAGGCGAGGATGTTAACATCTCACCACGGAGAGAGAGAGAGATACACGCAAACCTCAAATATACAGCAGGCGTCAGGGTCGGGATCGAACCCACGACCTCCTGTACACCAGGCGAGGCGGTTAACATCTCCTAGCCATTGTGATGATGACGAGAGAGAGAGAAACACGCAAACTCCAAATATGCAACAGGTGTCAGCATCTGGATCTAACCCACGACCTCCTGTATACTAGGCGAGGGGGTTAACTAAATGTATAAAAACTATATTTTTTATTTTACCAGGTAAGGCCCACTGAGCTATGTTGATCTTTTTCAGAAGTGACCTTGGCAAAAGTGATAGCCCAACGCAGTGGCTTAGCACGTCGAAATTTCTAGCAGCCAAATACTCTAAACGCCTAAATGTTGATTCTGAACATGGACGGAAAACCCGGAGAAAAATACACGCGACCACGGACAGAGAGAGAAAGAGACACGCAAACTCCAAATATGCAACAGGCGTCAGGGTCGGGATCGACCCCACGACCTCCTGTATACCAGGCGAGGTGAAATTTCGATTTAAAGCTTTCGTGACTGCAGGGATTCATCTTCTTGGTTCTTTCGGTAAAGTCACGTAGAATGGAAATAATAAAATAATAAAATAATTCTCACAGCGTCTACTCGACAGACCTGGTCTTCACCTGAGGACGGCTGCTTGCGTTGTGGCCGAAACGTCGTGAGAATTATTTTATTATGTTTTATCTTATTATTTTATTATTTCCATTCTACGTGACTTTACCGAAAGAACCAAGAAGACCAGGCGAGGTGGTTAACGCATCGCTACCATGAGCTGTGAATTGGGTGCGGTGGGGTGCGAGATCTTGGAATTCGTCTCTGTCCAGCGCTGCCAGGACGCGGCGCGGAATCAAAGCGCTTGGTCGGCTGCCACCGCACGTCCGCTCACGGCGAGCTCCAGTGTGCCGGTGACGAGGAACAGCTCCTTGCACTGGAGGCTGACCATCAGCGTCCGCTCGCCAGCCTTGGTGGGCGTGAAGCTCTGGCTGAGAGAGACGCTCTCGCCCGCTTCGATGTCTCTGTGGGAATTCACGCGCGCACGCGGCCCATTAGGATTCGCGAGATGTGATGAGATGGAAGAGATGGAGATGGGGCTGTGGGGGAGGGAGCAGAGATGGACTCCGGGCAGATATGCGGGGAGACGGCAGAAGAACTTTAGGTCGATGCGTGTGTGTGTGAGTCGCTGTATGTGTGTAAGTCGATGTGTTTGTGCGTAACTTTATTTGTGTGTATCTAAAGTGGATGTCTGTGTGTGTGAGTCCATATGTGTGTGTGTGTGTAAGTCGATGTGTTTGTGTGTAAGGGTCGACGTCTGCGTGTGTGTCTAAGTCGATCTGTGTGTGTGTAAGTCGATGTGTTTGTGTGTAACTCCATGTGTGTGTATCGAAAGTGGATGTCTGTGTGTGTGAGTCCATATGTGTGTGTGTGTAAATCGATGAGTTTGTGCGTAACTTTATTTTTGTGTAGCTAAAGTGGATGTCTGTGTGTGTGAGTCCATGTGTGTGTGTGTGTAAGTCGATGTGTTTGTGTGTAAGGGTCGACGTCTGCGTGTGTGTCTAAGTCGATCTGTGTGTGTGTAAGTCGATGTGTTTGTGTGTAACTCCATGTGTGTGTATCGAAAGTGGATGTCTGTGTGTGTGAGTCCATATGTGTGTGTGTAAATCGATGAGTTTGTGCGTAACTTTATTTTTGTGTAGCTAAAGTGGATGTCTGTGTGTGTGAGTCCATATGTGTGTGTGTGTGTAAGTCGATGTGTTTGTGTGTAAGGGTCGACGTCTGCGTGTGTGTCTAAGTCGATCTGTGTGTGTGTAAGTCGATGTGTTTGTGTGTAACTCCATGTGTGTGTATCGAAAGTGGATGTCTGTGTGTGTGAGTCCATATGTGTGTGTGTGTAAGTCGATGAGTTTGTGCGTAACTTTATTTGTGTGTATCTAAAGTGGATGTCTGTGTGTGTGAGTCCATATGTGTGTGTGTGTAAGTCGATGAGTTTGTGCGTAACTTTATTTTTGTGTAGCTAAAGTGGATGTCTGTGTGTGTGAGTCCATATGTGTGTGTGTGTGTAAGTCGATGTGTTTGTGTGTAAGGGTCGACGTCTGCGTGTGTGTCTAAGTCGATCTGTGTGTGTGTAAGTCGATGTGTTTGTGTGTAACTCCATGTGTGTGTATCGAAAGTGGATGTCTGTGTGTGTGAGTCCATATGTGTGTGTGTGTAAGTCGATGAGTTTGTGCGTAACTTTATTTGTGTGTATCTAAAGTGGATGTCTGTGTGTGTGAGTCCATATGTGTGTGTGTGTAAGTCGATGAGTTTGTGCGTAACTTTATTTTTGTGTAGCTAAAGTGGATGTCTGTGTGTGTGAGTCCATATGTGTGTGTGTGTAAGTCGATGAGTTTGTGTGTAACTCCATGTGTGTGTATCTAAAGTGGATGTCTGTGTGTGTGAGTCCATATATGTGTGTGTGTGTAAGTCGATGTGTGTGTGTCTAAGTCGATGTGTTTGTGTGTGTGGGTCGATGTCTGCGTGTGTGTCTAAGTCGATGTGTGTGTGTCTAAGTCGATGTGTGTGTGTCTAAGTCGATGCGTGGGGGGGCATGGGGGGGGGGAGTATGAGGGTGGGGGGTTGGGAGATTTGGGGGGAATGGGGGTGGGGGTGGAGTTGGGGGTGTGGGGGGGATGGGCGGGTGGGGGGGATGTGGGTGGGGGGATTGGGGGGAGGGGGTGTTGGGGGTGTGGGGGGGGAGTGGGGGGGATGGGCGAGTGGGGGGGATGGGCGGGTGGGGGGGTTGGGGGGGATGGGAGTGGGGGGAATGGGCGGGTGGGGGGGATGTGGGTGGGGGGGGTGTTGGCACATACCGGAAAGTTTTGACCGTGGGCATGAGGAGTCCAGAGCCTTCCATGTTGAAGGATACGTCGGTGAGGGGCACGGGAAGGGGGTTCTTGAACGTCAGCTTGGCAGACATCTCTGTGCCCACTCGGGCCTCCTCCTCATCACTCGCCTGCAGTGGAGCGACAACAACAACCACCACCACCACCACCACGGGGACGGCGGCCACGAAACACCACCATTATCAGCGTCGTCATCATCATCGCCATCGTCATCATCATCATCGCCATCGTCATCATCATCATCGTCGTCATCGTCGTCATCATCAGCGTCGTCATCATCGTCGTCGTCATCATCGTCATCGTCAGCATCGTCATTATCATCATCGTCGTCGTCATCATCGTCATCATCATCATCATCGTCGTCAGCATCGTCATTATCATCGACATCATCATCGTCGTCATCATCATCGTCGTCGTCATCATCATCGTCGTCATCATCGTCATCGTCAGCATCGTCATTATCATCGTCATCATCATCGTCGTCGTCATTATCATCGTCGTCATCATCGTCGTCATCATCATCATCGTCGTCGTCAGCATCGTCATCATCATCGTCGTCATCATCATCATCATCGTCGTCATCATCATCATCGTCATCATCAGCATCGTCATCATCATCGTCGTCATCATCATCGTCAGCATCGTCATCATCATCGTCATTATCATCATCATCGTCGTCAGCATCGTCATCATCATCGTCATCATCATCATCATCGTCGTCGTCATCATTATCATCGTCGTCAGCATCATCATCAGCGAGTGAGTGTGTGTGTGAGTGACCGAGTGAGTGTGTGTGAGTGAGCGAGCGTGTGTGTGGGTGTGTGTCTGTGTGAGTGACCGAGTGAGTGTGTGAGTGACTGTGTGTCTGTGTGAGTGAGTGAGTGTGTGAGTGACTGTGTGTCTGTGTGAGTGAGTGAGTGTGTGAGTGACTGTGTGTCTGTGTGAGTGACCGAGTGAGTGTGTGAGTGACTGTGTGTCTGTGTGAGTGAGTGAGTGTGTGAGTGACTGTGTGTCTGTGTGAGTGACCGAGTGAGTGTGTGAGTGACTGTGTGTCTGTGTGAGTGACCGAGTGTGTGAGTGACTGTGTGTCTGTGTGAGTGAGTGAGTGTGTGAGTGATTGTGTGTCTGTGTGAGTGAGTGACTGTGTATCTGTGTGCGTGACCGAGCGTGTGTGTGAGTGTGTGTCTGTGTGAGTGAGTGTGTGAGTGACTGTGTGTCTATGTGAGTGAATGAGTGACTGTGTGTCTGTGTGAGTGACTGACTGAGTGTGTGAGTGAGCGAGCGAGCGAGACGCCACTCACAGCGATGTTGATCGTGGGCACGCGCAAGCTGACGACGCGAACTTTCGTGACCATGTTCCCAGTCTCCTCCACCCGCGCGGATGCCGTGAAGTTCATGGTGCCGTGCTCGCTGAGGTGGAGCAGGTAGTCGCTCACCAGCACCGGGAACTCCAACTCACCGGCTGTGCACAACGCGCGCACACACAAAGATTCAGCCCCCCCCCACCGCTGGTATAGCCTTTAACTGTTCTGGGGGCAAGTGCCGTTACGCGAGTGGCACCTATGAAGGGGAAAGGGTGGGGTGGGGGGAGGGCAGCATCATGCCCGGCCGCCTTTGTCTCCCCAGGGGTGATGTTTACCGCACAGCGCACCGGGCACTCAGTTGAGGCTGAGTCGACCGAGGGGAGGCCCAGGACCGGTTCGGATAATCGTCACTGGAGGTGGTGGTGGTGGTCGTGAGAGGGAAACATCACCCCCCCACCTCGTTCACCATCGTCACCCCCCCCCCCCCGTTCACCATCATCACCCCTCCCCTCCATTCACTACCGTCACCCCTCCATTCACCCCCCCCCCACCCCTCGTTCACCCTCGTCACCCCCCCCCCCCGTTCACCATCATCACCCCCCCTCGTTCACAATCACCCCCCCTCGTTTACCCTCGTCACACCCCCCCCCCTCGTTCATCATCGTCACCCCCCCGCTCACCATCATTACCCCCCCGTTCACCCTTGTCACCTCCCGTTCACCATCATCGCCCTTCCATTCACCCCCCCCCCTAGTCCCCCCCCCCACTCACCCTCGTCACCCCCCCCTCCATTAATCATCGTCACCCCCCCCACTCACCCTCGTCACCACCCCCCCCACTCGTTCACCCTCGTCATCCCCCCCACTCACCCTCATCACCCCCCCCCCTCGTCACCCCCCTCCATTCATCATCGTCACCCCCCCGTTCACCATCACACCTCCCCCCCCCCTAGTCACCCCCCCCTCCCCACTCACCCTCGCCGGCCTTGAGCACGGCAGTAGCCGTGTCCCTCTTGAATCGCTGCCGCGTGGCTCCCGTGTAGGAGGCGAAGTCCCCCTGCACGTGAACCGTCACGGTGGCGACGGCGGCGGCGGCGACCCCTTCGTCGTTCGCGACGAGGACCTTCACCGTAAAGTCGCCGCCCACCGCCGCGTCGCCGATGGCGAACGAGAGGGTCACGACCTGGCGGTCGCGTCCACGTCTCTCTGCGACGACATCGTCAGAGGCAGACGCCCGGGACGTCACGGCCGGCCCGCGCAGCGCGTCGTCCGCAGGTGTCGACGGGGAGTAGGTAACGAAGTCTATACCTCCCGCCATGGCACGGGCCATCGTTTCGCGTTCCTCTTTTGATCCTTGGGGGGGGGGGGGGGGGGAGGAAGGATGAACCCGCTGACCCGAGGGACAACTACACACATGAAGTTCGCGAACCCTGACGCCTGCCTGCTGCTGCTGTATATTTGGAGTTTGCGTGTCTCTTTTCGATTTAAAGCTTTCGTGACTGCAGGGATTCATCTTCTTGGTTCTTTCGGTAAAGTCACGTAGAAGGGAAGTAATAAAATAATAAAAATAAAACATAATAAAATAATTCTCACGACGTTTCGGCTGCTTGCGTTGTGGCCGAAACGTCGTGAGAATTATGTTATTATGTTTTATTTTTATTATTTTATTACTTCCCTTCTACGTGACTTTACCGAAAGAACCAAGAAGATTTGCGTGTCTCTCTCATTATCATCACGGTGGCTATGAGATGTTAACTACCTCGCCTGGTATGCAGGAAGTCGTGGGTTCGATCCCGACCCTGACGACGTCTGCTGCTGTATATTTGGAGTTTGCGTGTCTCTATCTTATCATCATCATCACGGTGGCTAGGAGATATTAACAACCTCGCCTGGTATGCAGGAAGTCGTGGGTTCGATCCCGACCCTGACGCCTGCTGCTATTGTATATTTGAAGTTTGTGTGTCTCTCTATCTCATCATCATCATCATCATCACGGTGGCTAGGATATGTTAACCACCTCGCCTGGTATACAGGAGGTTGTTGGTTCGATCTCGAACCCAGACGACGCCTACTGCTGTATATTTGGAGTTTGCGTGTCTCTCTCATCATCATCATCACGGTGGCTAGGAGATGTTAACTACCTCGCCTGATATACAAGAGGTCGTGGGTTCTATCCGGACCCTGACGACGCCTGCTGTATATTTGGAGTCTCCGTGTCTCTCTCTTATCATCATCACAGTGGCTAGGAGATGTTAACTACCTCGCCTGGTATACAGGAGGTCGTGGGTTCGATCCGGACCCTGACGCCTGCTGCTGTATATTTGGAGTCTCCGTGTCTCTCTCTTATCATCATCATCACAGTGGCTAGGAGATGTTAACTACCTCGCCTGGTATACAGGAGGTCGTGAGTTAGATCCCGACCCTGACGACGCCTGCTGTATATTTGGAGTCTCCGTGTCTCTCTCTCTCTCTCCGTGGTCACGTGGAGTTGTTTTTATCATCTGGGACCTCCGGGTTTTCGTTTTCCCCCTTTCACGTTTCGAATCGACTTCACCGGTGTTCAGATTGTGTTTGGCCGCTCCTTTAAATTTCCACGCGGCGACGGCAATAAGCCACCTCCGTTCAGCTACCATGTCGCTTCTGAACAAGAGCCGCACTACGGCTTTGTAGGAGACCCTTGCCTCGAGGAATAAACAAACACCAAAACGAACGAACTTTCGGCCGTGCATCAGTGTCATCATCTCGGCTGATGGCGCCAAGCGACTCTCTTCACCACGGACGAACCAACAGCCCAAGAGGCAGTGGTGGCAGCTACAGGACATCGTTCGGTGGTTATAATATAATAAAAATAATCATAAGTGTCCCAGTTTCGATTTAAAGCTTTCGTGACTGCAGGGATTCATCTTCTTGGTTCTTTCGGTAAAGTCACGTAGAAGGGAAGTAATGAAATAATACAAATAAAACATAATAAAATAATTCTCACAATCACTATATAATTTTATTATGTTTTATTTTTATTATTTCATTACTTCCCTTCTACGTAGTTGTGAGAATTATTTTATTATGTTTTATTTTTATTATTTTATTACTTCCCTCCTACGTGACTTTACCGAAAGAACCAATAAGATGAATCTCTGCAGCGTGGTCAAAAAATAATCGTTTTTTTTTTTCCGAACTCGCGTTGGCCACGTACCCTCGGGGAACTTGTACTGCAGGGTGATGTCCTCTCGCCGCATGCTGCCCACCGCCTTGGTGCTGATGTCCTTGCCGATGACGGACGTGTCGGTGTACACCTTGTGGAACCTCCAGTCCTTGCCCCAGACCCAGTACACGCGGTCGCCGTTGACCTGGCCCGCGCGCGGAGCGACGGGAGTTTAGCCCGCGTCAAGGTTGGTCGTTGTTGTTGTGGGTTCGATCGCGTAAGTATAAATGCGTCGTTTGAATGAACGTAAACAAAAAAAAACTGAACTTTTTTTTTGTTTGAAGGTAATTTAATGTTATCACGCACAGACGTATGAAGACAAAAATTCCGCCCCCCCGTGTATAGCCTCAACAGACTGTTGGGGCAAGTGCTGTTAGCGAGCACCTATGAAGGTCGGCACTGTGGCACACGAGGGGGGGGGGGGGTGGTGGCCAGCACCACACAGACAGAGACACAGACACACACACAGACACATACACACAGACACACACAGACACACAAACAAACACACAGGCACACACACAAACACACAGACACACACAGACACAAACAGAACATACACGCACACATACGCACACATACGCACACAGACACACAGGCATACACGCAGACACACACACAGATACACACAGACACACACACAGACACACACACAGACACACACAGACACACACACAGACACACACACACAGACACACACACAGACACACACAAAGAGAACATACACACAGACACAGACACAAACAGAACATACACACATACAGACACACACAAACACATACACACACAGACACACACACAGACACACACACAGACACAAACAGAACATACACACAGACACACACACAGACACACTGACACACACACAGACACACACACAGACACACACACACTGACACACACACACACACAGACACACACACAGACACACACAAACACACATACACACACAGACACACACACAGACACACACACAGACACAAACAGAACATACACACAGACACACACACACAGACACACACACACACAGACACACACACAGACACACACACACAGACACACACACAAACACACACACAGACACACATACACACACAGACACACAGACACACACACAAACACACAGACACACACACAAACACACAGACACACACACAGACACACACACAGACACACACACAGACACACACCTCTGCGAAGACGAAGGGGGTGTCGTGCTTGATGTGCACGTGGCCGTTCTTGACCGCCACCTGCGGTGCGGGCCCGCACTGCATGAGGCCTGCACGGAGGCACACAAAGACAAAGACCCCCCGTGTAGCCTTAACAGACTGTTGGGGCAAGTGCTGTTAGCAAGCACCTATAAAGGCCGGCACGGTGGCACACCAGGGGGTGGGTGGCCAGCTCCACGCCCGGCCGCCTTTGTCTCCCTAGTGGCAATGTTTACACATCGCAACATTTCAGGCCGAGTCGACCTAGGGAAGGCCCGGGACCGGTTCAGATAATCGTCACTGGAGTTGGCCGTGAGCGGGAATCGAACTCAGGTCGCCGGGTTCGTAGCGCAGAATGAATGACTAACTAAGAATGAATAGACGCCTGATAAGCGAACGAATTAATGAATAAAATTCATTGACTTAACGACTAACTGAATGAGTAAGAATGAATAGACGAATAAATTAACTGATGAGCGAACGAATTAATAATTAAATGAATGACTCAACGACTAACTGAATGAGTAAGAATGAATAGACGAATACATGAACTGATGAGCGAACGAATTAATAATTAAATGAATGACTCAACGACTAACTGAATGAGTAAGAATGAATAGAGGACTAACTGATGAGCGAATGAATTAATAATAAATGAATGACTTAACGACTAACTGAATGAGTAAGAATGAATAGAGGACTAACTGATGAGCGAATGAATAAATAATAAAATGAATGACTTAACGACTAACTGAATGAGTAAGAATGAATAGACGAATTCACTAACTTATGAGCGAACAAATTAATAATTAAATGAATGACCTAACGACTAACTGAATGAGTAGGAATGAATTAGACGACTAATTGATGAGCGAATGAATGAATAACATGAATGACTTAACGACTAACTGAATGAGTAGAAATGAATAGACGACTCATTGATGAGCGAATGAATGATGAATTAAATGAATGACTTAACGACTAACTGAATGAGTAGGAATGAATTCGACGGACTAACTGATGAGCGAACGACCGAGCAATTAAACGAATGAACACGCAAACCAGCGAGCGAGCTAACACCCAAAACGAGCGTTGCGAACGCAAGCGTCCGAATGAATGAATGAACGAAGAACGAACGAAGAACGAACGAAGGGTGGGGGAGTGCGTGTACCGTCGCTCTGCTCCTGCGGCGTCGCGTCCACGACCTGTCAGCCGTCGTTGTTGCCCGGCAGATCGGGCCTCGCCATCCACGCCTCGTTCCACACGTGGAAGTTCCTGAGATGCGGGCGCGAGAGTTTTTTTTAGTTAATTTTTTTTTTCACCATTGGACCCTCATTTGCCAGGAAAAAAAAATATGATAATTGTTTTTTTATAACCTTCTATCTGGCAGATGTCTCAGTGTAAATGCTTACCCCGAGCTCTCTGTGGCTCGACTCACCAGATGGAGTCGTGGTTCAGCGAGTCGATGGGCCACATGTCCTGGTCCAAGTAAGTGTCCATGGTCAGATTCGCATTCTGGTCGTGCATCGACGAGAAGTTGGAGATGCTGCGACACGGGATGCCCAGACAGCGGAGAACTGCAACAGCGCACCACGCCACGACCTTATGATTAGCACGGGTTGGCTACGTACGCTGCGAAAGAAGTTCAATATTTATATGCCACGCCACGCCAGGCGAGACCACAGCACGCCACGCCATGCCACACCACGCCACGCCACGCCAGGCGAGACCATAGCACGCCACGCCATGCCACACCACGCCACGCCACGCCAGGCCAGGCGAGACCACAGCACGCCACGCCATGCCACACCACGCCACGCCACGCCAGGCCAGGCGAGACCACAGCACGCCACGCCATGCCACACCACGCCACGCCACGCCAGGCGAGACCACAGCACGCCACGCCAGGCGAGACCACAGCACGCCACGCCAGGCAAGACCACAGCACGCCACGCCAGGCGAGACCACAGCATGCCACGCCATGCCACACCACGCCACACCACACCATAGCACGCCACACCACACCATGCCACACCACGCCATGCCACGCCAGGCCAGGCGAGACCACAGCACGCCACGCCATGCCACACCATGCCACAGCATGCCACGCCAGGCGAGACCACAGCACGCCACGCCATGCCACACCACGCCACACCACACCATAGCACGCCACACCACACCATGCCACACCACGCCATGCCACACCATAGCACGCCACACCATACCATGCCACACCACGCCACACCACACCATAGCACGCCACACCACACCATGCCACACCACGCCATGCCACGCCAGGCCAGGCGAGACCACAGCACGCCACGCCAGGCGAGACCACAGCACGCCACGCCATGCCACATCATGCCACAGTACGCCACGCCAGGCGAGACCACAGCACGCCACGCCATGCCACACCACGCCACACCACACCATAGCACGCCACACCACACCATGCCACACCACGCCACACCAGACCACACCACGCCACACCACGCCATGCCACACCATGCCACACCATGCCACAGCACGCCACACCAGACCAGACCACAGCACGCCACGCCATGCCACACCACGCCACACCACGCCATGCCACACCATGCCACAGCACGCCACACCAGGCGAGACCACAGCACGCCACGCCATGCCACACCACGCCACACCACACCATAGCACGCCACACCACACCATGCCACACCACGCCACACCAGACCACACCACGCCACACCACGCCATGCCACACCATGCCACACCACGCCACACCAGACCACACCACGCCACACCAAGCCACACCACGCCACACCAGATCCCACCACGCCACACCAGACCACACCAGACCACACCAGACTACACCACAACCACGCCACACGACGCCACACCAGTTCCTACCACACCACACCACGCCACATCACCCCAGACCACAACCACGCCACACTAGGCCCCACCATACCACACAACGCCACACCACGCAACACCAGACCACCACACCTTACCACACAGTGCCAGACCAAATCCCACGTCCCTCCCATACACCATCCCTCCACGTAAATAGAAAATTGCGATTTGACACATCCCATCGGCCAAACGGCCATCCTTTCTGGGTGTGCACCAAATTTCAGCAGCATTGGCACAAAGCCTGGGCCGGTTTCCACATTCAGTGCCTCATCAAAGGCGTAAAAAAAGAGATGCTCCTAATCTGCCACGGCTGCCATCATGCCAGCAGCAATTTCCGGGTGGCCTTTGCGAGCGGGCGAGATGGTGAGCGAGCGAGATGGTGAGCAGACGAGCTGGTGAACGAGCGAGTTGGCGAGCGGGCGATCGGGCGTTGCCCGGCGCTGCCTCACCGGTGACGATCACGCCGGAGAACACCCAGCACTGGCCGTAGCGGACGGGACGTCCCGTGCGGCCGTAGCGCAGGAGGATGTCGACGCTGCCGTTCCACGCGGTGGGCGGAACGCCGTTATTGTAGCGTCCCGACCAGCGGCCCTTCAGCACGCCGCGATCGTCGTTGGCGTTCACCTGTTCCAGGGGAGAGGGGACGGGGGGTAGCCGGACAGGGCGCCAGGGTGGCGAGGAGATGTTAACGACCTCGCCTGGTATACAGGAGGTCGTGTGTTCGATCCTGACCCTGACGACGCCTGCTGTATATTTGGAGTCTGCGTCTCTCTCTCTCCCCGCGGTCATGTGGGTGGAAGAGGGGGGAGGAACAGGGGGGGAAGAGGGGGGAAGAGGAGGGGGGAAGGGGGGGGAGAGAGGGGAGGAAGAGAGGGGGAGGGCGCGGGAAGATGGGGGAGAGAGGGGGAGAAAAAGAGGGGGGGAGAGGGGGGGTGAGGGGGGGGGGCCTAAATGCCCTCGTGAATCAAGGTGCCCTGGAGGGGCCTCCATGGTTGGTGGCGCTGAGCTTCCTCCCTGCCACCTCGATGCTGTCGAGCGGAGATTTTATTTGACAATTTACCGGCCCATTCCTGGGGGAGCAATGCACTTTCCAGTTGGCTGTAATGGTGACGGGTGGTTCTTTTGAGTGACGGGGAGATGATTTTGAGTGACGGGTGGTTCTTTTGAGTAGTTCAAGTTGATGTATTAGGTGTAGCCCTGTGAGCCATCCGGCTCTTGAATCGGGTGCAACCGCAAACAAACAAAAAAACAAAAACATGAACAAGAAAACATCTTAAAGTGAGTCTGTGACTATGTGCAAACAGAAAAAAGCACCGTACACCGACGCTGTGTGCAAAAATCCCAGTGGGATTAATTTGAGTGACGGGGGTGATGCTTTTCAGTGACAGGTGGTTCGAACTCACAATGGCAGAGGCGGTGCGAGACACGGCGATGGGGCTCCCGCGGGAACTCATGCCCAGGTCCCCCTTGTCAAGGAGGGAGAGGCAGACGTCCAGGATTCCGCGCTCGAACTGCAACGACAAACGCACGCGGCCATCGTATGATCGATGTTCATCACCTCGGCTGGTACGCAGGAGGGTCGATCCCGACACTGACGACGGCGGTGGTGATGGTGACGGTGGTGGTTATGGATTTGAAGCTTTCGTGACTGCAAGGATTCATATTCTTAGGTTTTTTTCGGTAAAGTCACGTAGGTGAAAATTTTAAATTAATAAAAGTAAAATAAAAAATAATAATAAAATAACGATAGCTGTATCAATATACAGCTATCGTGCTGTGACGGTTCCACCTGAAGACGGACGCTTGTGTTGCCTCCGAAACGTCGTGATTTTTATTTTATTTTTATTTGACTTTTATTAATTTTAATGTTTTACCTACGTGACTTTACCGAAAAAACCTAAGAATATGTGGTGGTTATGGGTAGCGGTATTGGAGCGATTAGCGCGCTGGCTAAGAACCCGTCGACCCGAGTTTGATAACCCGCTCAAGGTCAACACCAGTGACGATGATCTTAAACCAGTCCTGGGCCTCCCCAAGGTCAACTCAGCCTCAAATGAGTACCTGGCACCACGTGTCAACATCGCCACTTGGGAGACTAAAGCGGCCGTACGTGCGTAATGGCCACCCAACCCCTCGTGTGACACAGTGCCGGCCTTGAAGGCCGGTGCTCGCGAACAGCACTTGCCCCAACACTCTGTCAAGGCTACGTGGGGGATCTTTGTCTTTGGCGGTGATAACCGTGTTCATTGTGCCAGCGGTAGCGGTAACGGTGGCCGTGACGGTGGTGGTTGACTACGGCGGTCGTGAGTGTGTTCCCACCAACCCCTCGTCTCACCTACGGTCGCACGCACACACACACACACACACCTGCCCGAAGTTCCAGTGGTGCGTCACGATCTGCTCGCTCGTGCCCAGGTAGAGGCAGCCCGTGTCGTTGAGCACGTACTCCCGCCTCCACGACTCGTCGCGCATGAACACCTGGTCCTCTGCGGCACGACGGGCAGCACGGGCTCGCGGTCAGTGAAACCCGCGGAGAGACGGGCGACTCCGCATCGCCCCCTCCACCAAGCCACCCCGCCCACCACAAACACTCAACTCACCCACCCACCAAACCCAACCAACCCACCCACCCCACCCACTCAACCCACCCCACCCACCCACCCCAACCACTCAACTCACCCATCCACCCACCCACCCCAACCACTCAACTCACCCACCCACCAAACCCAACCACTCAACTCACCCACCCACCCACCCACCCCAACCACTCAACTCACCCACCCACCAAACCCAACCACTCAACTCACCCACCCACCAAACCCAATCAACCCACCGACCCCCCCCGAACTACCCAACTCAACCCATCCCCCCTGCCCCAACCCGCCTACCCAACCAAACCACCCAGCCCACCCACCCAACCCACCCCACCAACCCACCCCAACCACTCAACTCACCCACCCACCCAACACACTCAACTCACCCACCCAATCAACCCACCGACTCACCAGAACGACCCAAACCAACCCCTCCCCCCGCCCAACCCACCTACCCAACCACCCACCCAACCCACCCACCTCAACCCACCCACCCACCCAACCCACCCCACGCACCCCAACCACTCAACCCACCCACCCAACCCACTCAACTCACCCACCCAATCAACCCACCGACCCCCCCCCCCCCCGAACCACCCAACCCAACCCCTCCCCCCCGCCCCAACCCACCCACCCAACCAACCCACCCCACCCACCCCAACCACTCAACCCACCCACCCCAACCACTCAACTCACCCACCCAATCAACCCACCGACCCCCCCCCCCGAACCACCCAACCCAACCCCTCCCCCCCCACCCCAACCCGCCTACCCAACCAACCCACCCACCCCACCCACCCAACCCACCCCACCAACCCACCCCAACCACTCAACCCACCCACCCAACCCACCCCATCCACCCACCCCAACCACTCAACTCACCCACCCAACAAACCCACTCAACTCACCAACCCAATCAACCCACCGACTCACCAGAACGACCCAAACCAACCCCGCCCAACCCACCCCACCCACCCAACCCACCCCACCCACTCACCCCAACCACTCAACTCATCCACCCACCCAACCCACTCAACTCACCCACCCAACAAACCCACTCAACTCACCAACCCAATCAACCCACCGACTCACCAGAACGACCCAAACCAACCCCGCCCAACCCACCCCACCCACCCAACCCACCCCACCCACTCACCCCAACCACTCAACTCATCCACCCACCCAACCCACTCAACTCACCCACCCAACAAACCCACTCAACTCACCAACCCAATCAACCCACCGACTCACCAGAACGACCCAAACCAACCCCGCCCAACCCACCCCACCCACCCAACCCACCCCACCCACTCACCCCAACCACTCAACTCACCCACCCACCCAACCCACTCAACTCACCCACCCAACAAACCCACCGACCTACCCGAACCAACCACCCCCCGCAATCTCATCACACCATCAGCTCTCGGATGTAGCGAGCTGGTGGTCTCAGCTAGCGGTCACCAATGGCTTAACGTGATTTGGCCCTTGTACGTAATTAATGTACAGCGCCGTGTGATACAATCAACATGAATGACGCTATATGAAAGGACTTTATTACAGCATTATTATTATTACCATGTCTCCCCCATCCAAAAAAAAGAAATCCCCCTACCCTCATGCCCTCGCTGATCTGCAAATCTTTCGCACCGAACGTAGCCAACCGTGCTCATTGGATGTGCGGGGGAGTGACAACAAACTACGGCCGGCGCTGTAGCAGCAGCAGCAGCAGTGTCACTACCAAAACAAAATCTCAAGACAGCTTCGGGATGGAATCGGTCTCAGTTTGCAAGAGGAGATGCCGCAAGGAGAGACGTTGATGGAGGTGAAGGAAACCCACACCCCCCCCCCCCCCCCCCCGGAGGTTACCGAAAGTCATCGATGGAGGCCCTGGGAATGGTAAGAGGGGAGGACCCACCTCTGCACCACGGGTTGAAGAGCACGTAGATGTCCGTATCAGGGTCCCTCTCGGTCCTGTTCAGCCGTCCGTTCGACTCGGTCACGACGTACATCTCGAACCGGCCCACAATGCAGTTGGGAGCCAGGTTGACGGAGATGGTGAGTTTCTTGCCGCCGGAGTACAACACCGTGGCACCGAAGCGGCTCTCGGTCTTACATTTGTTCACCTCCGCCACCACAAGGGAGCCCCTGCTCTCCAGCGGGAAGCGTCCTGCCCAGCGACGACGGGACGCCGTTAGAAGTCAGAATTTGGGGGTGTAAGCCACGGTTCCAGAGGTTGATGCCAGAATTTCGGGGCTCGGAGCCGGAATTTTGTGGGTTCAGGCCAGAATTTCAGGGGTTAAAGCCATCATTTTTGGGTTTAAGGCCATAATTTCAGGGGTTAAAGCCATCATTTCTGAGATAAAGGCCATAATTTCAGGGGTTAAAGCAATAATTTCTGGGTTTAAGGCCATAATTTCAGGGGTTAAAGCCATAATTTCTGAGATTAAGGCCATAATTTCAGGGGTTAAAGCCATAATTTCTGAGATTAAGGTCATAATTTCAGGAGTTAAAGCCAGAATTTCTCGATTTAAGGCCAAAATTTCACGGGTTAAAGCCATAATTTCTGAGATTAAGGTCATAATTTCAGGAGTTAAAGCCATAATTTCTCGATTTAAGGCCAAAATTTCACGGGTTAAAGCCATAATTTCTGAGATTAAGGCCATAATCTGAGGGGTTAAAGCCATAATTTCTCGATTTAAGGCCAACATTCCAGTGGTTGAAGTCAGAAATTCGGGGGCTCAAGCCAAAATTTCTGGGATTTAAGCAGGAATTTTGGGAATTCAGGCCAGACTTTGGCAGTTGAGCCGGCAAGAACGCTTAAGCAAATGTCCACGTGTCGTTAACCCTCCTCCACTCGACACAGCCAATTCACAAAGTTTGTCATGTGAATAACAAAACGTGGAAATTAATTACCCGTCCCCCACCACTCCCCGGGGTAACCACCACACCCCGCGCCAATACCCACTCACCGATCTGCAGTTCCAGGCGAATCTTGTCTTCTCTGGGGTCGTAGGGGCGGTTCAGCTTGAGCTGCAGGTCAAAGGGCTCCCCGCGGCGCAGCACGAGGTTGTCCACCTCGTAGTCGCTCGTGCGGTGCCGCGCCCGGTTGGCCGCAATCCGCTGGTCCACCGACCGCACCGTGAGGTGGCGGCGCCTCTCTACGCCAGGAGAGTCACCACTGCCGGGCAAATCGCTCCCGGGCAAGTGCCCTGACGGTGATTTCGCACGGCCGTTAGAAATAATCCACACCTCGCGTGTCCCCGGCTGGCTGCTGGCCTGGGCTCCTGTCCACCCCGACCTCCCCCCCCCCCCCTCGGGCTGTGACGTCACCATTGCTCGATGTCCGAGTGGGAATTACGCGGGGCCGAAACGTCGTGTGGAATTGTATTTTATTACGCGCAATTTTTTTTTATTTTATTATTTCCCTTCTACGTGACTTTATTGTTTTATATTTATATTATTTTATTATTTCCCTTCTACGTGACTTTACCGAAAGAACCAAGAATAGAAATAAAATAATAAAGAAATATGTATATTTCATTATTTATTTCATAAAATAATACTATTTTATTTCTATTATAATTTTTATAATATTTATTATTTACTTTTATTTTTACCTACGTGACTTTACCGAAAAAACCTAAGAGTATGAATCCTTGCAGTCACGAAAGCTTCAAATCTAGGACATCTATTTGGTGTTAGAACATCTTAGCACAGTGATATTTCGAAATGTACTTATTGTCAATGAGAAAACGTGGTGTGCATTTGAACTTGGATATCTGGACTTGTATGCATTTGTGTCTTTCGTTCACGTGAAATCCTGGTCACAAAAGCAAAGTTCGTGGGGAATAATAGCCGTTTTATATTATTTTGAGGCATAAGCAATTAAGAAAGAACATTCAGTACCCAGGGACAAAAATTGAGTGACATTGTTTAGTGATCGACCAAAACACGCACGGCTGTTGCGAAACTCCTTTCCTGTGGGGCATAGAGGAGGAGCCGTATGGACTGATCACCCATCTCAAGGCCGTAATTACAATAATTATAATATAATTATAATATATATTGAGGGGGTACACATGCCCTCCCAATATATTGCTATATATTAAAAAAAAAAAAGTTGCGATGCTATGTAAATGAAAACTACAATTTGCTAAACCTTGGCCACAATATCTGGACTTGTATTCATGTAAATCAATGCATAGATTTCTGTTTATATGATTGTGGTTATGGTTGTACTTTATTAATCCCTAATCTCTGTCAATGCTTACAATGGAACAAGAAATGGTAAAAAGTAAAAACAGAGCAATGTAAATACAATACACTATTAGACATACATTTCGATTTAAAGCTTTCGTGACTGCAGGGATTCATCTTCTTGGTTCTTTCGGCAAAGTCACGTAGAAGGGAAATAATAAAATAATAAAAATAAAACATAATAAAATACAATTCTCATAACGTTTCGGCCACAACGCAAGCAGAATTGTATTTTATTATGTTTTATTTTTATTATTTTATTATGTTTTATTTGTATCATTTTATTATGTTTCATTTTTATTATTGTATTATTTCCCTTCTACGTGACTTTACCGAAAGAACCAAGACTATTAGACATTATTGTAAAAAAATAAATGAAAATTCCATCCCATGTGTTAGTGAATTTTAAAATATTTTAGGCAGGAAATTCGTTTTAAAATGTAGACTTTTTTTCGAGGTTGGGACCCCCAGACACCCTGAAAGATTTGCCCCCCCCCCCCCCCCCCAATGTTGACTCCATGGCTACGGCCTTGATCCATCTGCCTCTTGTGGACGGGGATAGAGTATTGCACCCTCGCATGCGCGAGGGGGCTCGAGTTTCCTCCCACGTCGAGTGTAACAAACACCCATCACTCATTGCCATCCTAATGTGCAGACCGGTGTACATCAATCGTTTGTAGTGTCGGCTCTACAGCACCTGGGCAGCCTTCCAGCGATTGAGAGAGGCCAATATATAAAAGTAATTAACCGAATTTTTTTCATTATTATTATAAAACAACCCCGCCCCGCATCCCAGGCGGTATGCTGGGAGCCGTCATCCATATCGCATTACCAATCATTTACAACCCTTCGTGCATTGCAAGCGCGCACAGACACAGATGTATAAGTAATCCGCCTTGGTTGGGCGGCAGGCTAATCGTAACCCTCACTCTCTCTCTCTTTCGCCCGGGCGATGGTCCAATAGTTCCACGTGTTCCTGTGTCAAGACTCTTCTTGACCGAATTGAACATCTAAAATAATAATAATAATACACCCTAGGACTTTGACAGTTGCCATTTTCTTGCTCCTGGTCCACAGTTAGCCAATTTAGTGGAGCCTGTGCAGAGGTCGCAAACGGGGTTTGATTCCTTACCCGTACCCGTACCCGGCCGCACCAAAGTCGCAAATGGGTACCCGTACCCGTACCCGGTAGCCGTTCCCTACCCGTACCCGTACCCTACCCGAAATGAGTGACAAACGGTTACTCACCAATGACTCACGGCCTACCCGTACCCGGCCGCACCAGGGTTGCAAACGGCTACCCGTACCCGGCCCGGCCGGGTACGGGTAGCCGGGTATCGGGTAGAGTACGGGTATCGGGTACCCGGTTGCGACCTCTGAGCCTGTGTGATCTATATGGGGTCCTGTGGGGTCGTTTGGGGGGCCCTGTTGGGCTTGTGGGGCCTTATGGGACCTGTGGAACCCTATGGGACCTGTGGGACCCTATGGGACCTGTAGAACCATATGGGACCTGTGGAACCCTATGGGACCTTTGGAACCCTATGGGACCTGTGGAACCCTATGGGACCTGTGGAACCCTATGGGACCTGTAGAACCATATGGGACCTGTGGAACCCTATGGGACCTTTGGAACCCTATGGGACCTGTGGAACCCTATTGGGACCTGTAGAACCCTATGGGACCTTTGGTACCCTATGGGACCTGTAGAACCCTATGGGACCTGTAGAACCCTATGAGAGCTGTGTAACCCTATGGGACCTGTGGAACCCTATGGGACCATTGGAACCATATGGGACCTGTAGAACCCTATAGGACCTGTGGAACCCTATGGGACCTGTAGAACCCTATGAGACCTTTGGAACCCTATGGGACCTGTAGAACCCTATGGGACCTGTGGAACTCTATGGGACCTGTAGAACCCTATGGGACCTGTAGAACCCTATGGGACCTGTGGAACCCTATGGGACCAGTGTGGTTCTATCGGGCGTAGCGCACTTCCAGGATGCGCTTCTGCGGCCGTCTGGAACGCCCTTCCTTCATTTTTTTTAATTTTCGATTGAAAGCTCATTTCTTTAGAACTGCGGTTTTTGTGTTTAGTGTTGTTGTCCTTGTCTCGCACCTCCGATCAGCACGGTTGGCTACGTACGGTGCGAAATAAATTCAACGCACGCACGGGCACACATACAGGCGCGCTGTGCGTGTCTCAACAACCGTAATATAAAAATAAAAACCACGGGCCCCACCAAACCGCACCCAACATGACATGTCTGGCCCGAATCCAGTTACTGGGTTGACATTTCCGACCCGATGTCTTGGCTTATTACATAAGTAACACGGTGGTGGTGATGACGATGATGATGATGATGATGATTATATTTCTGAGGATCGTTGGGCCGATCCCTCGCCTGCAGGATGCCAGCGGGGGCCCACCATGGAAAGGTGACGGTTAACAAAAAATGAGTCGATAAAAAGAAATCAATTCAAATCGACGGATTTGTGAAAACAACAATTGTGACTATCTGAACGAAAAACCAAATTGTGTTGTTTTGTTGTTGTTGTTGTACCAGCTCTTTTTCAGAAGCGACCTGACTTTCACAAATAATAGCTCAACGAAGTGGCTTCTCATCGCCTGCTAAATGTATAGTAGCCACACACTCTAAACGTTGCGATGTTGATTCTAAATGTGGAGGGAAACCCAAAGGACCCCGAGAAAAATCCACGCGACTATCTTTTTGGTTCTTTCGGTAAAGTCGCGTAGAAGGGAAATAATAAAATAACAAAAATAAAACATAATAAAATAATTCTCACGACATTTCGGCCACAACGCAAGCAGCCGTTCTCAGGTGAAGAACAGGTCTGTCGGGAAGACAGCGTCATTCAGACGCGTCATTCAGACTCTGTCTTCCCGACAGACTTGTTCTTCACCTGAGGACGGCTGCTTGCGTTGTGGCCAAAACGTCGTGAGAATTATTTTATCATGTTTTAGTTGTATTATTTTATTACTTCCCTTCTACGTGACTTTACCGAAAGAACCAAGAAGATGAATCCCTGCAGTCACGAAAGCTTTAAATCGAAATTTTATTATGTTTTATTTTTATTATTTTATTATTTCCATTCTACGTGACTTTACCGAAAGAACCAAGAAGATGAATCCCTGCAGTCACGAAAGCTTTACATCGAAATTTTATTATGTTTTATTTTTATTATTTTATTACTTCCCTTCTACGTGACTTTACCGAAAGAACCAAAAGATGAATCCCTGCAGTCACGAAAGCTTTAAATCGAAATTTTATTATGTTTTATTTTTATTATTTTATTATTTCCCTTCTACGTGACTTTACCGAAAGAACCAAGAAGATGAATCCCTGCAGTCACGAAAGCTTTAAATCGAAATTTTATTATGTTTTATTTTTATTATTTTATTATTTCCATTCTACGTGACTTTACCGAAAGAACCAAGAAGATGAATCCCTGCAGTCACGAAAGCTTTAAATCGAAATTTTATTATGTTTTATTTTTATTATTTTATTATTTCCCTTCTACGTGACTTTACCGAAAGAATCAAGAAGATGAATCCCTGCAGTCACGAAAGCTTTAAATCGAAATTTTATTATGTTTTATTTTTATTATTTTATTATTTCCATTCTACGTGACTTTACCGAAAGAACCAAGAAGATGAATCCCTGCAGTCACGAAAGCTTTAAATCGAAATTTTATTATGTTTTATTTTTATTATTTTATTATTTCCATTCTACGTGACTTTACCGAAAGAACCAAGAAGATGAATCCCTGCAGTCACGAAAGCTTTAAATCGAAGTCTCACACGTGTTAAACTGAACCTGAAATCTCAATTCCCCTGCGCACGGATACGGGGTGAACCCGCGTGGCTCGATGGCTTCGGGAGAAGTCGACCTCAGGCCTCAGGGGTTTCGTGGCGCAAGACCCTAAATCGTCACCGCAGTTTGTCTGAGCCACCGGTGCAGGAGGAGCATCGGTTTGTACTTTGCAGGCGGATGGGGTGGGCAACTCACAGGGCCAGGACGGTTTCAGAGGCCACGTGTCCCTCGAAGCGCCTCTTGCCGCCTCCACCTGGCGAGACAACGTAAACGGAGACATGAGGGTCCGTCCATAAATGACGTCACGCACCTAGGGGGTGGGGGTCAGACATTTGTGACGATGTGTGACGAGGGGGGGGGGGGTTTGAGAAATTTGACGTCACATCAAAATGCGCAACTTTAAATAAATATAGACAACACGTTCTACTTAATTGAATAGACT